CCTTGTCTGGTTTTGCTGTTTTTCTGGGCCTGGTGCTGAAACACAGTTGAGACCTAGATGCATTTATTTGTTGCAGGTCAGAACCTTATTATCCTGAGGAATTACACTGAGTGGCCAGATTATTATTATCTCTGAACACATAATAATCTGGCCACTCAGTATATATCCTATATAATAAAAGACTAATATGCAAATTGTCCCCTTGACCAGGAGTTTGACCAGTAGGCAGGCCAGTCAACTCAACTGCCCCTGGTCAGGCTGGCCAGACCCTACCCATGCACGAATTCATGCACTGGGCTCTAAAACACACACACACACACACACACACACACACACTGAATGGCCAGATTATTATGCGTTCAGAGATCATAATAATCAGCCACTCAGTATAGTGCTTAAGACCTATTTTCTTGCCCCCTTGTTCATTCATCCTCTAATGGGGTCTAATCTGCATGACAAATGACTAGCAACAGGTCAGGAAGGAAAAGTTACCTTGGAGGTGAGATCTTTGTTTTTCCAGTTTTGCCTGTTGCTAGGCACCCCATTATCTTCTGTACAGGCTCATGGTACTTGCTCTGCTCATATCTGTCTAACTGCCTGCAACATGATGCAGTCCTTCCATACACCCCCTTCCCTTTTTTTTTTTTTTTTTTTTAATCACAGACCATAATTCTAACCTGAAATAGCTATGTTCCACATTAGTGGCATTAGATGTTTTGTCATCATCTACAACTTCCATATCTAATAATCTCCTAAAGGTTAATTATCATCATTGTTGAGAATAAATAGAAATGAACCAGAGATTCATAGAAGCAAAAAGGAAGTGGAATGGTTGCTGTAATCATAATATATTTTTTAAAAAGATGAAACAGATAGTTTGTCTCATTATAAATTTAAATTCTTATTACAAAAAAGTAAAACATTCAGAAATGAATAAAGTAATCATAAGCATTCATAGTCCTTCCACCAAGAAATAATGATTGGTTTATATTTGTAACATTTACTTATATTTTATAGTATTCATAGTTAATTGTATATCATATATTATAATTATTATTATAAAGAGTATTTAAAAAGTAAAATTGAGGTCACACTAGATATACAGATCTGTATTCTGCTTTTTCTTTTTTTTAATTTTTAAGAAATGTTTCTTTTTTTAAATTCTCACCCTAGGACATTTTCCAATTGATTTTTAGAGAGGGAAAGACATCCAGAAATATCAGTGTGAGAGAAACACATGGATTGGTTGCCTCCTGCATTGAGCCCCACCCAGGGCCTGGGCTGGGAAGAACCTGCAACCTAGGTACATGCCGTTGACTGAAATTGAATCCAGGACCCGTCAGTCCATAGGCTGATGCTCCATCCACTAAGCCAAACTGGCTAGGGCTCTGCTTTTTCTTTTAACATTTTATTGTGAACTTTCCCCAGGCCATTAAATACATCTTTCTGTGTTTATATCATAATGTAAAGCTTGCTTATCATTAATTGCTTTGGGAAATTTTCCCTTTTTTTCCTATATAAATTGTTGATTGCATTGCAATTAATCCATTTATATAAATATTTTCCACTTGGTTAGTTTTTCACCTATATCTATAACTCCCTGAATTGTTCACTTGGTGGGAGTTGCAGCTTACATTCCAGCAACAAGGGGAGGAATAAAGAGAGAGAAGTCAGAGAGAGAAAAAAGGGAAAAGAAGCTTGGAAGACCAAGTACAGAAGAGGCATGACAGCGGAGAGCTGAGGGTGAGCAGATGGCCCATGTAGGCACAAAAGGCACTCCCATTCCTCCGCCAGCCTTAGTCCCATACCTGGCACACATTTTAAGCATTGCTGTTTGGGCATGTCAGCATTTAGTCTCTCAGCATGTAACATCAAAGAAGTGCAAATGTGTGAAGCAGATTCTTAAAGCTCTTCACTTCAAGGAGGTATTGTCAATGCAGAGAAACTGTGGGGCATTTTAAGTCTTTTTTGCATCTTCAAACTTCCCTTTCCTGGTCTCTGTGTTCTCTCTGCCCATAAACAGGTACAGATTTGCTTTTATTAAACTAACTTCACCTTGGGCTTCCCAGTGTAGATCCCACCACACTGTTCTGTCAGAATCACCTACTATGTACATTTCCAAAAGTATGAGATTGTTTATATAAGTCATGGTGCATCCATACTATAAACTACATGATATTAAACTATGTTGTAGAATAACAATTAATGATGTGGGGATTTCTTCAAGATATATGTGAAGAGAAAGAGGTTACAAAAAAAGACTGTTGTATACTTCCATCCATGTGTATATGTGTATGGCTATAAAGACTAAAAGCTATAATATACCAGAATGCTGTAAGGGCATTCATGGTGAGAGGCTTACCTCTTTTTTCTGCATTTGCTACTATTAATTACATTCATTTTGAAAGAGTGGGGAGCACCAAGATTTGTTATTTCTTAAGGCAAAGAGAGTTCTGCATTGGTTGATACCATTTCCTCCTCATCCAGGTATTCTTTGACTGTGTAATTGGAATCTGGCTCTGAGCCTCATGTCATTGACTTCAGAGCACTATCCATAGCAGTCATTGGTTGAAGACCTACTATGTGTCTTGCCCACGGCCCTCAGGATATATAGTCAAGTAAGGCAAGTCTCTGTCCTTAAAGAGCCTGGGTGGACAGAGATCTGTCTGCATTCTATGACCTGTAGAGTCTAGGTGGTCTTGGCCCTGGCTCCCTCTTGGGTCAAAATTGCTTTCATACCATCACTCTCCACTGGTTCCACTTGCTCTTTCCATGCTGGTCTTATGTTCCCAGCGTGCCATACACATTGTCTCCCAGTTATTGGCCTGGCTTGTCCCTCATGTTGGTACTAAATACATCCTCATGGTCATCCTTTTCTTTCATTGATATATTTCCTGAATATCCCTTGCTCTTTGCATTTGAACTTGGAGTACCCAACTTTCAGAGTAGCACTTGGCTTTATGAACATGGACTTTGTGAACATGTGACATTGTCAGAGCTGTTTCTATGGACGGTCAAATTGAGCTATTGTTCACAGAAAATAAAAATAGAGAATAAAGACAGTTCCATTGGGGAAATTCTCTGATTTTGAAAATATTTTATCCAGAGATTCTTTTTGATTTCAAAAGTATCTCTAGAAAGACTAAACTGTTCCAAAGTCTAAAAATATCTACTAGGAAACATTCCCAAGTAGGAAAGAGAGTGATCATATATAAACTTGTAATAGGAAAGAAAGTGATCATATATGAACTTGAATGAAGTTAATACCCACTTAATGTAATGATTTAAGTGCTGTGCTTGGAAACTGGCAAAAATCATATATATATGATTGATTTATCATGGATGGCAATGCCTATAATCTACAGATTATTTTTATTAGATAGGAAGGTAAATATAATCCTAAATGACAAGTTTCAACAAAGGGTTTAATACTTTTAAAAAATATATATTTTATTGATTTTACACAGAGAGGAATTGAGAGGGATAGAGAGTTAGAAACATCTATGAGAGAGATACATCGACCAGCTGCCTTTTGCACACCCCCTACTGGGGATGTGCCCGCAACCAAGGTACGTGCCCTTGACCGGAATCGAACCCGGGACCTTTCAGTTCGCAGGCCGACGCTCTATCCACTGAGCCAAACCGGTTTTGGCGAATTTAATACTTTTATTGCACATCACAAATGTAAGAATTGCTTATAAAATGAATTAATTGAGGATATTTTTGGAAGCACGCTACCTTCCATTCAAATCCTGGCTCCACCACACTTTATCTTTATGACCTTGGACAAATCCATTCACATAGCCAAGCTTTGCTTCCCAATCTGTGAACTGGAGATCCTATTTGCTATTTTAAGGATTTACAAGGGAGACAGAGTAAGCTAACTTGTGAAACATTCAGGACAAGTTCACATCAGACATCTTTTTCTCAATTTTAGAACACAATAAATTGATAACAGAGCTATTTGAAATATTAGTTAGCTCATTGTAAAGATAACTGGTCAATTTGCACTTGCACATTATCCAAAGAAAATAATCCATGGTGAATTTTTTCATAGTTCAACTTTTAGATATCTGCCAATTACCAAAACAGGAAAATATGTGAATTACAGTTCATGCTGCTTAATAGAAATAGTGAAATCTTGCAGTAATTAAATCTAGTACTTGAGAAAAAGTCAACCTTTGTTATCAATATTTTAGTGAATTTTTTCAAAATTCCCACTGGCTTCCCCTCCCCCCCCCCTTTATTTTGCTACCATTTTGGGGATCTTGATCTATCTAGGCTCATGTAACTCCTAGTTAAGGAGGATCTTGACAAACTTCCTGCAGTGTAACTCTCTGTATAGTAGAAAATATGAATGTGACTACTATTTGCAATTATTACTTACACTCAGTTATTATTAATGCTCTATCATGGGAAGAATATAAATTATTATAGAGCTAACTCTTTGGAGTGTTTGCTTCAAAAATTATTGGCAAATGTGATATTGATAAAAATGATGTTTAAAATTTTTCATGGTTATTGGCTTTTGTACATTACTGTTTTTCTCCTGATATTTTTCTCAATTCTTTTCTTAATTGATCTCTGTGCTCTCTCTCTACCTCCTTGGCAGTCTTTTCCCTTTAAAAGGACCCATCTGTTTAAGGTAGAGATTCTCCATTTTTATATTCTCATTGGTGACTAAACTGCATGGAATAGACATGCTTATCATTTAGAAGTCTTCTTTAATTCTGCTTTTTCAGTAGTATAATATGTCTTTTTGTTTTTCTTTAAGTAATATATGTTTTGTTTTGTTTTTTTAGTCTGAATTCAAGTTCCAAATAAAGTATGTTTAATTTCTAATCATAGTCATAGAATTAAGTTTACTTTTTAAACTTGCTAATCCATAGTAATGAAAAATCATACTCAACTGATACTCTTTGTAATAGCTAAATATACAAAAAGTGAGAGAGAGGAAAGCTCTTTTAGAAAAGTGACTAATTTTCATTTGATTTTGTTAGACTTGAATTTGAGCGGCAACAGCGTGAAGAACTTGAAAAATTAGAAAGCAAAAGGTAAGCAACATGGGTTACTGTAGTTGTGAATTATTGTGTTAATGTCCTAGACCGATTTCATCTATGTCTATTTCAATACCTCCCTTTGTCTCTGTGTCTGTTATTTATGTCTAATGACCATAAGCCATTTTCTTTAGCTGATTAGTTTTACAGCATATTTCAATTTTTAAAATAATTCATTCTCAAATACTTGTGAGAAAGGAGAAATAGAGCCAGTAGGCAAATTTAGTACACTCATTTAATTATGCCAAATACATACTTGTTTAAATTTAATTCAAAAATATATCTTCCTTAAAAATATCAGCTGAGTTTTTAAAAAGCTGAAAGAATGACAATTCTCCTTCCTTATGCCTCCCTCCTTTAAACATCTTTCCCGATGCTAGTTGGCTTTCGGTATTTCCCTCTAAGCTTCTTCACATTCCTCGTTCACCTTTCTTCTGGTGTTATGAATGTGTGGTTAATTTATTGATTTGGAGAGCTTTTATATGTTCTGAATATAATTATTTGATAAAAATATCCTTTTTCTTTTTTCCTGTTCTATTTAACAGCTCAAGAAATGGACTAAGGCACTTGAGTAGAAACTAAGGTCATAGAAATATTTACAAAGTGACTATTTTCTAGAATCTGGAGTTTAGATGTTACAGATGAATTGGTTTCTAGCATCATATAAAACATATCAATGATGGATCTGAGATGGAGGCCATCATTCATTCTTTTACAGACCCATGTTCCTGCTTTGTAGGCCAACCCACCCCTGAAACACTGAGGTAGCACCCAGTGGGGGTCGGTTGTTCTCCTAGGCACAAAACGTGACATGTAACCCCCTGGAGTCGTGCACTTAAGTATTCTAATGAAGACTCTGTTATATTCAGTGTTGTGTATTAATAAGCTAGTATTTAGGGCTACTTGATTATTAATAATTTCTCTAAGATAGTGATTAAGTGCTAAATAGCATGTAGTTATTTGAGCAGGAACAATGAACTGTCGATTATCTTGACTTTGATATTTGACCCAAATGAATTAAAGAGAGCATAAGCGTTTTTGTTTAATGCCATCTTGTTAACAGAATTTGTTGCATTTTAACCATTGAGCTGAATAAAATTATTCCCGTTTAAATTTAAATTGGGCATGCTTCTTTCTCTTTGAGCTCAGGGGACTTTTAAAATTATATCATGCATAACACATTATGCTTATAGACACTACAAAGACATGATATCAGAGGCTACTTCAAGAGATTAGACAAATGATATGTTGGACAGTTAGAGAGCCAAAAAAAAAAAAAAAAAAATCAAACAGTCTGCTATTGGAAATGAAAAGTTCTCCCTCATTTTTATTGTCACGAAGGGTTTGGCTTTATATGGTATAATACATTCATTTTCAGAGCATTTCAGTTCGGGGAGAGAATAACTTTTGAATAGTGTTCAAATGATGACCAGTCAACATTGTGCATTTCAGGAAACTCATAGAGGAAATGGAGGAGAAGCAGAAATCTGACAAGGCCGCGCTGGAGCGCATGCAGCAGGAGGTGGAAAGCCAGCGCAAGGAGACGGAAATCGTCCAGCGCCAGATCCGCAAGCAGGAGGAGAGCCTCAAGCGCCGCAGCTTCCACATCGAGAGCCGGCTCAAGGACCTGCTCGCCGAGAAGGAGAGGTTCGAGGAGGAAAGGCTGCGGGAGCAGCAGGAGATGGAGCTGCAGAAGAAGAAGCAGGAAGAAGAGCGCTTACTCCGGGTCAGAGAGGAGCTCCAGCGGCTGCAGGAGCTCAACCACAGCGACAAGGCCGAGAAGACGCAGATATTTGAAGAACTGGACCGGCTCAAAAGGGAAAAGGACGAGCAGTGCGCCAAGCTGGAACTGGAAAAGAAGAGGCTGGAGGAACAAGAAAAGGAGCAGGTCATGCTTGTGGCCCATCTGGAGGAGCAGCTAAGGGAGAAGCAGGAGATGATCCGGCTCCTGCGGCGCGGGGAGGTGCAGCGGGTGGAGGAGGAGCGCAGAGACCTGGAGGGCATCAGGGCCTCCCTGCTGCGGGTGAAGGAAGCCCGCACTGAGGGCGACGAGGACAGCGAGGAGCTGGAAAGGGCTCAGCTGCATTTCTTAGAGTTCAAGAGAAGGCAGCTGGTCAAGCTAGCCAACCTGGAGAAGGACCTGGTGCAGCAGAAGGACCTCCTGAAAAAAGAAGTTGAAGAAGAACAGGAAATCCTGGAACGGTTAAAATCGGAAAATGAGGACGACTCTAGGTTGTTGGGAAAAAATGATGATGATGGCGTCACATATGTCCCCCAGGTGACTCAAGATTTAGAGAAAATAAAGCCGGCAGAGTGTAGGCTGCAGCACAAAGAGCGCCAGCTCCAGTACCTCCTGCAGAATCATCTGCCCACTCTGTTGGAGGAAAAGCAGAGAGCCTTTGAAATCCTTGATACCTGCCCTCTGGACTTAGACAACACTCTTTACCAAGTAGAAAAAGAAATGGAAGAAAAAGAAGAGCAGCTTGCCCAGTACCAAGCCAACGCGAGCCAGCTGCAGAAGCTCCAAGCCACCTTTGAATTCACGGCCAATGTTGCTCGGCAGGAAGAAAAAGTGCGGAAAAAGGAAAAAGAGATTCTGGAATCACGGGAGAAGCAGCAGCGGGAGGCGCTGGAGCGCGCAGTGGCCAGGCTGGAGAGGAGGCACTGGGCCCTGCAGCGGCGCTCCACCCTGGGCCTGGAGATCGAAGAGCAGAGGCAGAAGCTGGTCATCCTCAACAGCAGCAGCAGCAGCAGCGAGCAGTCAGGGCTGCAGGCCAGCCTGGAAGCCGAGCAGGAGGCCCTGGACAAGGACCGGGAGAGGTGAGATGTGGGATGTGGAGGGGGAGAGCATGGCATAGCACCGGTGCCACGCCATTGTGAGTTATCTCCCCCTCACAGTGTGTCTAGCACTGTCTTTTTATAAAGTAATCCTTTGAGCTTTTATATTCTCTAGTACGCAGGCAAATGCTTATTTGCCTGAGAAAAACACCTCTAAACATTCTTTACTTCCCCCTTAGGATCCTTCTTCTAGAATCATTGGCCTAAAGTTGAAAACAACACATAAACACACACAAAGCCCTTGCTCATTACCCCACTGACCTATGGAATGTGTACTTTTTGGTATTTGATAAATACAGACGACTGAAAGTTTCTAGCCTTGATTTCTTCCTCCTTTTCCTTTCTTCCTTCTGGTCTGTCTCTCTTCCTTCACCACCTCCCTGTCATTGCTGGCTCAGGATCTGTCGTCATTGAGTCACAGTGTCCTCACCCTTTCACCTTTATAAGGAGAGGTGGATGAGATTGGGGGTCTGTGCATTTTCTTAGCTCCAAACCTTTGGTCAGTTGAGATCTTAACTGAAGCCCAGGTTGGAGGGCGTGGAACGCTGCCCCCACCTCAGCATTCCTCCCATCCCGAGCCCTCTTGTAGGGGCTGCAACAGAAGTCCAATCCGCTGCCCTGTAGCAGCCCAGCGTGGCATTGGCAGAGACCTGGCATCCATGCTAATGGCATGCAAGGCCTGCTCTGAGGTGTTGCTGGAGCCTCCATCCATCATGTTGCCTGGAAAGGTCAGGACAACTTCCTTTCAAATGACCGGCTTCTACTGTGAATTCCATTTACAATTATTCTCTGGTAATTCTTGCAGACAAAACGACCACAAATAACAATCAAAAACCATAATGCTATTACTTCAGAGAAATAGGTTGGAGGTTTACGAATGGGACTGCAGGTGTATTATATAAACAAAATTGCTGGACAAAGCTGTAGCCCCAGGAAATTTAAAGTAGTGGAGAGCACGCTCTCAATTTGTATCCTGCAGTGTGCAGTAGGGATGCAGCCTGAGCTTTTAGCTTGATGTCCCTGGCTTTTGTCAAGCGGCTTCACTCCCTGGCCATTTAGTATTAATACTCTATTATAGCGGAAGTGATTTCCCAATGTCAGCATTGCTCCAGCAGCCACACAGAGGAGGTTTTCAGCTGCCTGTGTTTGGATGGAGTAGACTCTGCTCAGTCCTAATTCAGGCCAACAAATCTGAGCTCTTTGCTCTGGCTGTGATGCTTCTGAGCTTTTTTTGGTGTTTATTTTTCTGGGTTTCTCATGGCTAAGCCAGGGCCTGCCATGAAGCCTGACTTGACCACTCATGAAATTCACAAGTGTGAAATATTAAATTCCTGTGGAACCAGATTGGACAACAGTGTACTAACTTGGCTTTGCCTGTTGGTTGTTTGTGAGCAAAATTTAATCCATTTTCTGCCTTTCCCCCCACTTTTTTTCTACCCAGTGATTATATAACCACTCGGGACAAGTATCAGGTGGAAAGTGGCAGAGCTACAGCTTGAATCTAGGCCTACTTACCTCCAGTCTCTTAGCCTCTTGTCCTCTTGTCTGCTGACACAGAGCTGCTGCCAGGCAAGCGGCTCTTCCATGTGCCCCAACCCCTCCTATAAATCTTGCTCAGCCTTCAGGGCCCCCTTTAGACCCTGCTGTCTTTTCCACAGTTCTGGCCCTGAAGGCTTTGAACAACCCCACTGGGTGTCATCTTAATTATAAACACTGGCAATTACCTTCTTATATCCGGCTCATTTTCCTTACGATCTCTGAGACACTCAATATTGTTCCCTGGTTGCTGGTCCACCCACCTGGCCCCTAACATCCTTCTCTTATGCTCATCCCCTTGCCCTTCGAAAATGTTGTGTGCTCTGCAAGGTGAGGCTCAGTAAGTACTTGCTAATCGGTAGACAGATGAAAGGCTGAGTTAAGCAGGTCATTGTCTCCCATGGAACCCATGAGTGCTAACCCTGGTGACCCCCCAGTCTAATTTCAGCAGCTTACAACGTGGCTTTCATGTTTAGGACAGAGCAGTCAAACTGCTGCTGGTGACATTGGAAAGCTGGCATTGTTGTGGTGTGTCAGCATCTGAAGCTAGAATCCATCATTTTTGGAGCTGAATGGATTTGGAGAGACTAGTTTACTCTCTCACTTGATACCTAAAGACATTGAGATCCAGATTTCATCAACCTGCCCCAGTTCACACTGCACATGGGCCATAGCCTCTAGGTGGGTTTAGTGTATTCTGGGACTAAATTCACTGGCAGACTTGGTCCTCTAGCCTAAGCATGTTAAGCTTGCGGCCTGTAGGTCTCATGTCTTGTTTATGGCCAGCTGTGAGTTTGACAAGTGTGCCTGGGTCAGTGACAGAACAGCTTCACAGACACTTGACCTCATATTAGAGGCATCATTATCATGGGCAATAAATGTTTAATTCCACAGTTTACAGTTTATATGAGTTTTCTGAGATACTTCACCTGCTTTCTTAGAGCTCTCATCTTTTTGCCTTTTCCACATCATCTGCCTAGGCAAAGAGGATTCCTGGTTTCCATAGCTTAGCTTCTGTGTTCATGTTGCTTTCTGTATCTGGACAACTCTCTGCCAACTATCCCCAAAGGTTAAAATTCCTACTGGTCTCTGAAGATTCAACTTAAACTTATCTTGACTTGAAGGTTCTCAGATACTGGTGGTTTTAAAAAACTCTTGAAAGTATAGATCTCTTTTCTCAAACAGAAATATTAAGTGGGATCTCGATATGTAGTAAACAGCTGTTTTATTGAAGGCAGGGCAGAAGTCTCAGAATCCTGCACATCTACCTCTGAGGATTTGCTTGGAACATGGTGGGGATCTTTACTCTTGATGGTAAAATGCTCCAGTTTTTGGGTGCCTACAAACTTGTTCTGAACCCCTTTTGTGGCCCATTATCACCATATAGTTTATCTTTTAGGTATATGGTACGTTTTCTATTAGATGGTAAAGCTCTTTGCACAGATTTTTGGTCTAGATCCCTCAGGGTTTCTAGAACATTGTCGCAGTGATGATGGTCAGGAAATAGTGTTAATGAATGAATTCATGTAACTTCCATTTCTATAGGTTAGAACATGAAATCCAGCAGTTGAAGCAGAAGATCTGTGAAGTCGATGGTGTTCAGAAAGGGCATTTTGGTACCTTGGAGGGAAAGGCTGCTTCTTCCAGCTTGCCATCCAATTCTGAAAAATCTCACCTGGTTCCTCTGATGGACGCCAGGTACTGGACATTTCTGATGTTATTCAATAAGTCACTGTCCCTCTTATTAGCCAGTTTACATATGCAGGGCTCTATAGAAGGTGACAAGTAATTAATGATCCTAAGATGTGCTTTGCCTCCATCAGCCACTCCCTGGCCAATGGTGAGTTGAGTTATCACTTAAAGGGAACCAAAGACCAGAAAACTGGCCCGCTAAATCCAAGTAATGCTGGTGCAAGTAGTTTGTGAGAAGACAGAACTAAAAAGGTCCTGAGAAACCGGCTCATCAAGAAGGTAGTGATGCAAGGCCAAGTTGAGAGGAACAAAGAAAGAGCATTAATTGAATTGTACCAAGAAGAAGGACCTTATGCTGATAGTTTATTTATAGAAGTCATGATTACAAATAGATGACTGTTACCAAAGCTATATCAGTATATTCAGAATGATCATAAATAGCATACATATATACCTGATTGTTACTATAATGAACTGACTTTCAACTTGGGTGGCATTGTCAATTGCTCTGTAGCTTAGACCCTCAGATAAATTGACTCAATCATTCTTCAGCTATAATGAACTTGATTATTTTACTCAACCCATCTATGTCATGGGGACATTTCAAACTAGACAGTCTTGAGCCCTGGGTATTAGGAGATAAGTATCTTTATATCAAAATATACTCAGAATATCATGAGCTTCTGCAGTCCTTTAAAGTTAGGGCTGAAGAAACCGGTTTGGCTCAGCGGTAGAGCATCAGTCTGTGGACTGAAAGGTCCTGGGTTCAATTTCGGTCAAGGGTATGTATATTGGTTGCGGGCACATCCCTGTTAGGGGGTGTCCAAGAGGCAGCTGGTTGATGTTTCTCTCTCATCGACGTTTCTAGCTCTCTATCTCTCTCCCTTCCTCTCTGTAAAAAATCAATAAAATATATTTAAAAAATAAAAAATAAAGTTAGGGCTGCATACTAATATTGCACTGGGATAATTTAAAAATTAAAAGTCCAGTGAGGCAATGCATTTGTAAGTGGCCTTGGCTCAGGTTCAGTTGCACATGACTTTATTTTCAGTACTGAAAGGTAAATACTGCACTTTATTACCCTAACTCCATTCTTTTAGCCTATCATATTAATCTCTTTATCTAGCATTTCAGAAAATTATTTTGCCATGGTCAGTTCTACAAAAAAATATTTATGGAAAATGCATGTGCTTAGAAAGGTGGAATCAGATGTGTTTTTTTGTTTGTTTGTTTTTGTTTTGTTTTTTTGTGTGTGTGTGTTTAATGTGGTAAGATAAAAACATGCCAAACTGTTCATTTAAACTAATCCACCTAATCAGTGTCTGCAGACTTGGGTAAGAATAGCCTAGAACAGAGTAAGACTTCCATCTGAGCAGTCTGAACCACTAGAAGGATTTTAGGTAGTAGTAAAAATCTGTAGTCTTACTGATTTCTCTGGATCAATGGTTGTACTTCATTCAATTTCACCTGCATTCTGTGAGGTATGAGCTACTCGGCTGATAAATGCTTCAACAGTCAACTGTTTCCTGTTTCCTCTGTCTTGGTTCTGGGACAGGCATTTTGGAAGGTAGAGACCTTTAAGATGTGCTGTCTCCTGGCCAGATGTACATAACCCAGTTGAAGAGAAAGGATAGTACAGGAACAATGCAAGACATTATTTCATCAGAATAGTGTATATTCACTTTTTTTTCTCTTTAATCCTTTTAAATGACTTTGTGAAGTGAGCTATAACTATCACTATTTTCTGTGAGGAAACCAGAGCTCAGTGCGTGAAGTGTTAGTTGGGTCTTAGAGTCAGTGACTCATGGTTGGAGGCTGGGAGCCTTCAGAACCAGGTGTCTGTGATTCTCCCCTACATTGTAGCAGAGGTTCCAAAGGAAATCCATGAGAGAGTTGGATGGGATCACTCAGTCATCCTCCCATTCTCAAAATTCTGTTACTTAGTCAGTTCTCTCTCATTTGGAAAAAACACAGATAGTAAACACATGGCTTTAGATTTCTTAAAAAGTAGAAAAATGTTTAAGGTCCAGAGTTGTTATAGTTGGCCTTTAAAATTAGAAAGCTTGCCCTGTCAGTATGGCTCAGTGGTTGAACATAGACCTATGAGTTGCAGGCTCTGTCCCCGGTGGGTGGGGAAGAGGGGAAGGGGGGCATTTCAGGAGGCAGCCAATCAATGATTCTCTTCATGTTGATGTTTCTATCTCTCCCTCTCCCTTCCTCTCTGAAATCAATAATATATATATATATATAAAATATGAGAAAGTTCCCTGTTACTAAGGGCAGAGTAAAAACAGTATCTCAAATGCTCTGTGTGGTTAGAAGTGTTCCAGTACCTTTGTCTCCCTGTTCCCAGGGTCAGTGCTTACATTGAAGAGGAAGTCCAAAGGCGTCTTCAGGATTTGCATCGTGTGATTTGCAATGACAGCAGTGTTTCTGCAGACATGACGAAGGTGAGTTGAGGGAACCAAAATAATGAAGTCATGCATTTTTAAGACAAGCTTTCAATAAGTTATTGGTGGTGGTGGTGGCATTTTTTGTTACTGTTTCTCAATGAGAAAATTGAGATGCAAATGTTCTAGAAAAATTAAATATTGGGTGGAGCCTAATAGTTTACAAATAGTATGAGTTCAAAAGAAAGTTTATTTATTTTAAAGTTTTGAATTTCTGAAGGAAATTCTTAAGTGAATATAAAGTTTCCTAAAATGTTTTATTTACTTTGATTTATAATGAGTCTACATATAACATTTTTCTATTTTCTCAAAAAATACAACCAATTTCACTTGAAACTAATACAAAATAATAATGAATGTAAACTGTAATTGAAAAAAATTAAATAAAATTAAATACAACCAATTTCTGTAAGTATTTAATTTGCTTGATAAATATTTCAGGTAGAAAAAAAATTGCCTTTGAGAAAATACATATTTGCAACTTGATTTTTATCAAAAGAAAAGCATTGCATTTCTATCATGTAACTTTAAGAATTGTCTTAAGGAAAAGTTTGCTTTTAATATTATTCTTAGACATTTAAGATTTAGAATAAATGGTTCAATTCTCTTAGAGGCAGATGGATTGATAGTCATGCTTACCGTGGAATATAACTTAATAATAGAAATATTGTCATTGTTGAATGGCAAGTATGTTTCTTTAGAATTTGTTCCCATAAATATTTCTAATCAAATCAGTTTTTTTTCTCTCTTCTATGAACACACTATAATTTAATATAGAGGGCTTTTCCTTTTCTTTTCAGAATAATGAGAAATTTCACAATGGTACCATTCAACGTAAGCTAAAATATGAGGTAGGTAATGATTTTTCAGATTGATATGATCACCTTAAATTATGGCATGCTCATGTGATTAAATTTTCTTAATGTTTAGTTGTATAATTAGAACTTTGAAGTTGCAGTGAGATTAATGGCTAATAGGGAAGGCAAGCTATTCTATGGACTCAAAATTAAATGGATTCCTGCAGATTCGAAACTGCTTTGACTTTGTTTGAGTGGCATATAGCTGTGGTGGAGGCGCTTTGCCTGGTTTTTCATTGGTAACAGTATCCTTTCTCTTGGTTTGCATTTGAAAGGCAGATTTATATAACCAGAATCCTACATGGTGTTTAGAAATGAATTTGAGTACTTCTCAATATTTTAAAATTCGGCTTACTTTATAGACTGAGTTGGTAGTAGTACAAAGGAAATAACTCTTTGTTGATTAGTTTATTTCACTACTGGACTGTCAAACTCAGGTTTATTGGTCATACGATTTCTAAGGGCTTACTTATACTTTTCTCCACTGAGGGTCTTGTCCTTCCCATACATTCCTAAAGAAAACACACACACACACACACACACACTCTCTGCTAGGTGATATAAATTTTACAGATGGTGTTTCTAAATTACTGAACAGAGAGTGAGAGGTGGAAGCATGGGTGTTCTGCAGTAGGCTTGTCTGACTTTGTCCACTGCCATGTTCTCCTTCCAATCATCCAGCAATGTTTTCCTTTGAACATCCATTTCTTTAGCCGATAAAGAGGTTGCCTTTCATTTATTTGTATCCATAATGGCTGGCCTTTGACAAGGCTGGTTTGTAAATATGGTAATAGCAATCTAACCAGGTACATAAAATTAAGAAAATTTATAAAATGAACCAAGAGGCAAGAGAAGTAGGGTTCAGGTTGGAATACCTGTCAATTTCTTTTGGCTTTGCTGTCGTATTTTCATTAAGTATTTCCTGATTACCTTTACATTTTGAACATATGGTCATGGACTCATCTGTACAACTAAATCTGACCTTTTAAAAACTGACCCAAATGATTTAGGACTTATTTTAGAGTGAATGAAATAATAGACCAGGAAGTGGATACTGTAGATCAATTCCATACAAGGTTACTTCTGTAAAATTACTCATCAATTTATTAGAGATATAATATGGAAATTGATGCTCTATATGTGAATCCAATCATATATTTTTAAATCATGTCTCAATCAATGTGAATGGCTTTTGATTTAATCTCTGAATCAATACACACAATGAAACCAATAACTGCAAGAATCTTCATGTGCAAAAGAATCATGAAGGCTGCTACCACATCCCCATTTCAACTGTTTTTGACATCTTGAACAGAAAGGGTGTCTTGCCCCGCTGCTGCCCAAAGATGTCACTGACCCTTTCACCAGAGAGGAGAGGAGGGAGGTGGATCAGAACAACCACCAGAGTGATCTCATGACTTGGACCATCTCAGACTCTACAATTTTCTCTTCAGCATCAGGAGAGAGAATCCACCACCCATGGGATCAGCCCTCAGCACCTGAGGTGCTGCAGAAAAGTGATTGCAACTCTAGTTGTTCTGAGCACATAGGTGGTTGTCTATCTAAAACCTCTCTTCATAATGAAAACAACACCAGCAATGCAGAACATTTTCAGGTTAAATCAGAAAATTTCAGTGAGTTGATGACTCATAAAGATGAACAGCGCTCAGCAATTGAATCCAGCTGGACTTTGCTGCAACATACATGCCGAGAAGTGTCTATAAATAGTGGGAACAAACAGACTAGGCAAAGCAAGTTGCTCTATTGTGTCTTCTCTGAAAGTGTTTCTAGCGAGGAGAGTGTATCTGCCAGCATTTTTCAGAGTTCTCCAGCCTCAAAGTTGTGTAGTGAGCAGCACACAGAGGAAGAGTTAGCTTCTAAAAAAGTTAGCCCTCCAGAGTCACCAATAAATATCAGGACAGAAGGGAACAGTGGGTTAGGATATTTCTACCATAGGTTCTCCAACTTTTATAAAGGCACTAGCAATCACCTGCTACAGGCTGGCACAAAGGTTATCAGCCAAGCCAGGCATGTGGGGAGCCTGTGGGACCCCAGTGGGCTCACCTCCCAAGTAACAACATACATCAGAAGACTGCCATTGGTGAAGCACTTACCCCAGCAGCTGCCCTTGACATCACACTGGGTATCATCTGAATCTCATTCTCTTCCTGCAGAAGATCAGCTTGGCAGCAGTACCAGCGAGGAGACAGGGGCCGTCAGGCCAGCAGGGAGTGTGGGTCCTTACAGAGCGCCAGGCATCACAAACACAGAGCTACCAGGTTCCTCTCCAAGCTCAATTGTCTGCCTGGAATCTGAAGAAGCTGGAAGGATCACTGCATTTAAGCAAACCCTTGTGCAATTCCCAGATCAATTGCTGAAACTTCAAGAGTGCCCTTTACAAGACTTTCTCAAGCATGTGGCTTGTTTCCTACCAGGACTTTTGGTCGACATGCATGAAGTCAGAGGCATTTACTGGCTTGCTGTTGCTAACTGCACAGAACCTGACCACCAGCCAGCATGTTTGCTCCTGCTTCCTTCAACTTTATATGCTTTAGTCCTATCAGACACCCACCTGGGCTCCATGGGCATTTTTCATGCCCTGTCTCTCTCAGAACTAAGGGAGATTCAAATCGGCTTTGGTGGGCAGAGCATTCGTTTCCTGGGTTCTTCAGAGAGTCACCTGCTCACTGTATTTAGTTACAACAAAAACCTCTGTCAACAAATATGCCGTGACCTTCTGTGTGTCCTGATGCCTGAGTCTGACATCACTGCCTGCTCAAGTCACCCTTTGCTCCAGCAAGATCTGGTCCAGCTTTCTCTGGATTGGAAAGCAGAAATCCCTGATTTAGTTTTGTCAAATGGAGTTTGGTTGTCATCAAAATTCCAGAGCACCATTGTTGATATGATTTACTTTCTCCATGGAAATATGGAAGTCAACATCCCTTCTCTGGCAGAGGTTCAGTTAATGCTCTACACAACGGTGAGAGTTGAAGATGATTCTGGCCAAGTCCAGTGTCAGTCACTGGTCCTTCTGAATACTCACATAGCCCTTGTGAAGGAAGATCGAGTTTTCTATCCACATGTTAGGTCTCTAAACACACCCCCTCCACGACCACAATTTGATGTCACCAGATTTCGTGCTTTAAGTGAATTCAGGTGCATCATTGTTCCAGAGAAGAGAACATTACCAGCAGTCCAACTTGTCTTCTTTCACAAACTGAAACTTCCATCAGGTTCAAGAAAGAGTCTGTCTGAGCACTCTCAAGACACCCAGAATGTCCCGTTGTTCACCAACCCATTTTGTCCTCAGGGCAGTCGGCATGTGGACCCTGAAGTCTGGGATCTGACCCTCAACTCTCAGGATGAGGCTCTGTGGCTGATCTCACATTTGACAAGGCTCTAGGGAGGAGACTTGTGAAAAACTTTGCATAGTCTTTGAGATCTATAAAAAACATAAAGCAGTCAGGGACTATGAAAGTCTTAGTAGCTAACTGATTAGAAACTGGAAAAATGTAGACCTCTAAAATGAAAGATGCAAACATATTAAGTATTTACAATAAAATAAAAATAGACCTTATCATACTAATAAAATATCCTTATCACCTCCTTGCTTCATTTTCTTGAACCTGTAAATGTGGGTCTGCCTCATTATTTGCGATATGCTTAAAGCATTTCAGATTGTGTTGGCTTCATGTCAACTTATGGTGGTGTGGAGTGGGTCTTTGCCTGCTGGATTCTATCAGACTAGTTTGTGCCCTGAAAAAGTGCCCAATCTGCCAGTGGCCTTCATGGACATCCTCTGTTTTAGCTGTGATTAGGACAGCTCTGCAACAGGGCACATTGGTCATACATGAAGCTTTCCGAAGGACCCAGGGATTTCAAATGCCCTCCCCTCACTGTAATAGGTAGAATGAAGATGCTATATGTGCCCTGCAGTATCTTCACTCAGTTAATTTCCTTTTTCTCCTTTCAGTCTTTGTGACTATTCCTTTTTAACCATTGTGGTTTCAGCTCTTTACCTGTTGTTGACTCCCTCCCCCATATGCAACATGCCCCCATGTAGCAATTCTTTCTCTTAAGCCCTTGTATTTCTGTTATAGAAAGGCTCTCATCTCTGTCTTTTCTTAACAATTTCTTTATGCCATCTTATCAGATATAGAGTTACCTTAGAAGATATTCAACACTTCTCCCTGGTTGTCCTCTCTCTTGCGTCTCATCTAACCCATCATTCATGACCTCTGACCAAGTGTTATGCTGACCTGAGCCAATTGGTTTGCTGGCCTCCTTCTGACTTGAATTCATGCTCAAGTCAGCCTTAGATAGGTCTCCTCACGAAGTTGTCAGATGTCCTCCTCCTCTGTAGAGGCTTAAAACTAGTCTCTTCGGAATTCTCTCCTCACTTGAACCATTTTTTGTCCGCCTCCATTTAGTATTTCAATAAGGAATGTTTTTCTGCTATTTTTTATCACATCTGACCCTGGGTTAATCTCCCAGTGTGCTTCTGTTTCTCAGGTACTTGTGTTCTACTAAATTACTGAGACTTAGATAAAAGGAGGTTGATGTCTTAATTGTTCCATCCAGCCTGATTCCCCTTCCAACAAGGATCATGCCACGCTGATGTAGCTACCATCAAATGATGTATGTAGTTAAGCAAGTCAGCTATTCCATTAAGCCTTTCAAGTCACCCCTGGTATGGGGGAGTTATTTTCTGTTCTGGTCAGACATTTGTATAATGGTCAATGATAATGTGTTATAGCATACCCCCTCTTGGATTCTCTTCCTAATTGAACATGTGGATAGTATCAAAGCTTCACCAATCCAGAAACATACCATCTCCCTGTGGTGAAGAAATGTAGAGACTTCCTCTTTCCATCATCAGAGCTAACAAAAAGCTACTGGTCTACATTTTCCTTATTATTTTCCACTACCCTGGTATGGGGAAGTGAACAGGAAAAGGCAAGAAACTGGAGAGTGCATGAGGATCCACACACTGG